TGTTGGAAGATGCATCCGATTTGTCCGATTTAAATGCTTTAATCTCTTGTTTTACTTCTCTACTAAGCCACATTGGTTTTAATTTGTTTCATTTATATTTATTTCCCAATGGTACATACTGAGAGATGTACCTTTCTAATATTTGTTGGAAGATGCATCCGATTTGTCCGATTTAAATGCTTTAATCTCTTGTTTTACTTCTCTACTAAGCCACATTTGTTTTAATTTGTTTCATTTATATTTATTTCCCAATGGTACATACTGAGAGATGTACCTTTCTAATATTTGTTGGAAGATGCATCCGATTTGTCCGATTTAAATGCTTTAATCTCTTGTTTTACTTCTCTACTAAGCCACATTGGTTTTAATTTGTTTCATTTATATTTATTTCCCAATGGTACATACTGAGAGATGTACCTTTCTAATATTTGTTGGAAGATGATCCATTTATCCTCAGTGTTCTTTTCACTAAAGAGTTTATGCCAGTCAATATATTGTAAAACTTCCCTTAACTTATTGAAATTGGCCTTTTTAAAATTATATGTTTTAGTATACCCCATGTGCTTTTGTTTTATTTCAAAGAACACTATATTGTGATCACTATTTCCCAAGTGCTCACCTAATTGAATGTTGGTCAAAAGATCAACGTTGTTTGTTAAAACCAGGTCCAGACAAGCATCCATTCTAGTTGGTGCTTGTACTAGTTGTGACATGAAGGTGTCATTTAACAAGTTTAAAAACCTAATTCCCTTTGCTGAGCTACTAGTCCCTCTGTCCCAATTTATGTCTGGATAATTAAAATCTCCAATAATTAAAGTGTTACCCAGATTTGCAGCTTTCTCAATTTGCTCAAACAGCTGTTGTTCCTCGTCAATATTAACATTAGGTGGTTTATAACATATCCCAACCAATAGTTGGTTTCCCTTCTTTTCCCCAAAGCAGATATTTACCTATAAAGCTTCCACATTTTCCTCATCGCATTCCATTTGCTTAAGATTTGGCTTTAAATCATGGTTGACATACAAACATACCCCACCACCCTTCTTGTTTTTCCTATCCTTCCTAAATAACATGTACCCATTTAAGTTAACTGCCCAGTCCTGTGTCTCATCCCACCGCGTTTCAGTTATGCCTATTATATCATATTGTTTAGTGTATGCTAATGCCTCTAGTTCCCCCATTTTGTTATTTAGGCTCCTTGCATTTAGTAAGCATACATTTAATATTATGCGTCACTTGTATATTTTGTGAATGGCACAATCATAAAAAAATGAAATGACCCCTGTTCATAAGTCTGCATACCCGTGTTCTTAATACTGTGTATTGACCTCTTTTAGCATCAATTACAGTGTGCAGTCTTTTGCAATAGTTGTCTATGAGGCCCCTAATTCTTGCAGGTAGCATAGCTGTTCATTTGTCTTGGCACAATGCTTCCAGGTCATGTAAAGTCTTTGATAGTATTGCATGAGATGTACCCAGAGTGTCTTGGTGATATTAAGGTCAGGCGACTCCAGAACCTTCATCTTTTTCTGCTGTAACCACTGGAGGGTCAACTTTAGGAAAGCTAAACTTGATGAATGCAAATCTCGTTTCAGTTATGTAACTATGTAGATACACACACATACATACAGACACATGCAGATACACAGACATACAGCTGCAAAACACTGACACACAGATAAACATACAGACATACAGATACAAAGAAACACAGATACACCCTTCTGTTTCCTACCTTTTTGGTTCAGTAGTATGTCTTCCCTGCAGGCCAATTGACTGGTTGAGGCTGTTGAGAGTCAGAGGCTCTCCCAGCCTGCACTTCCCTCCTCTATGCCTCTCGCGTGCGATTCTCTGTGATAGCTGGGGGGGAGGTAACTGGCTGTCACTTCCTCTCAGCGCTGGCATCATGAAAGGGGTCTGGTTACACTATTAAAGGGCCGCATCGCTGACCAGGTCACTGAGAAAACATTGCCATTGCGTGGCAATAAATTCATGGGCCACCTGATGGACCCCCTCGGCACACTGGCAGTAATTCCGCAGCTGATGAGACCCTGTTGCGGGCAGTTGCATTGGGGCCAACAGGGGTAACTGGGCCAGGGGCAGCTGCCCCGTTTGACCCGCGTAAAGATGGCCCTGACTGACAGTCACAGAACTGGTGATCTATTAGTTTTCTAACCCCAGTTTATCAGGTTAATCTCTCGTATTTGGAAAACCCTTTAAACTAAAAGTTGTAGATTGTGTGTACATAGATTTGCAGAGTAACATTTTATTATTATTTTATTATTTATATAGCGCAAGCTGAACGAACAGACATGTAATTATAACCAGACAAGTTGGAGGCACAGGAACAGAGAGATTGAGGGCCCCGCTCAATGAGCTTACATGCTTGAATTTTTCGGAACTTTATATGTTTATTTTATAAAATTTGTGCTGCCACTTGCTTCTCCTCCCACAAAGTCATCCTGGAGGCACTGTTTCCTGGATTCTCTTTCAATGTTCCGCACATGCATCCAATAAAAGCCATTGGCAAGTCATGGCGAGTAGAAATTCAAGCATAATAAGCATACTATCAGGGTTATTTAATAAAGTGAGAATCAAAATTGAGTTTTTAAATTTAAGGCAAAAGTAACTGAACTGAAATTATTGCTGATTTTCCAGTTTTGGTATTCTGGACTAAAATTTTACATTTATTTTGAATTCACCATTTAGTGAATAACCATGTTTGGCTTGCAGTGTTGAGTAACTTTTAAAGTGACATGCATCACTTGCAATGTTCAGTACCTGTTACTTTTTCCATCTTGTCTAGTATGTTTTTTAATTTTTTTACTGGCTGGTTAACTGTAGTAATATTGTCCAAATCTGTGTGCATACATTGAATAAGGAAAATTAAAGCATCCAGGCACTAAATGTGAGGTATGAATGATGGTTCACAAACACAGGTAATAGTCACCAATATAAGTAATTTATTGCAAGAGAAGTCACCTATATGAATCCCCCAACGTATATAGACTTATATAACTTATAAGAAATTCTATCATTGTGGATAAGGGAAGATGGCTTGTTAGTGACATGTATGGGCTTAGGGTGCAGACAGCGATTGTGATTCCCATATAGAATGTGAGTAACCAATTGTGATTCCTATATAGACTGTGATTGAGCTATGAGCTTGGGTACACTCTATAAATAGTGATGTCCCGAACGGTTCGCGAACGCTTCGCCACAAACGGTTCGCCACGGACTCATCATTGAGTAAACTTTGACCCTGTACCTCACAGTCAGCAGACACATTCCAGCCAATCAGCAGCAGACCCTTCCTCCCAGACCCTCTCACCTCCTGGACAGCTAACTAAGAATGCAGCTTCACAATGAATGTAAAATGGATGCTGTCCAGGAGGAGGGAGGGTCTGCTGCTGATTGGCTGGAATGTGTCTGCTGACTGTGAGGTACAGGGTCAAAGTTTACTCAATGATGAGTCCGCGGCAAACTGTTCGGCGAACCGTTCGGGACATCACTATCTATAAAGGTTTCTAAAAATGAGATGAAAATAGGTGACTCGGATTGCATATGGGTGAACTTGCCGGTAAGGATGCAGTTATTAACTCTAGTCCTCATGTTTGTAAAAATAATACAGAACGTGGCTGAGCCTTGACCCAAAATTAAAGATTCATAGCACAGATTATACAGAGATTTATTTCAGTGTCCCATCTCTCAGCTTGACCTTTCAGCTATATTAGACATTAAATGGTTATTCAACCATCAAGGCCAGTTCTCCTTTTGGAAGTGTTATGGTGGTTGGAGTTTGGATGTGGAGTGTTTCAGCTGCACATTTAGAATTATTTTTTTTATTGTGCACATGTGACTTAGGCAACTCAGAACTGTTCCAGACTGTCTTATGTCAATTCTGTACATATTTTATCTTTTGTCAGCGTTTCAGATGTAAGAGTGCCTACAAAAGAAACATAGGTTTCACCTCCCTTAATTAAAATATCCCTCAACTTCCCACCCCCCAACCAATTTAATATTGAGCGCAGGTGCTCTGAGCTGGTGAAATTAGATTGCGTGCATATGCTCTGAGCCTGCTTCTCTATGAGAAGTTTGTGATTGTAACATGCAAGTGCAGAGTGCACATGGGGTGTGGAAGACTAGCGCTAGAATGCTGGATGTTAGCTAACTAAAACTTATTTTTGCAGGTTATGGGGAGAACCGAACAGTAATTCCCAATGCGCATTGTAATTTGAAAGAAAGAAAAATTGTAAAAAGGGTTGGGGCAACCCTTTTATGTCTAATATAGCTGAAATGTGTACCTTACAGAGAGGTAGAGGTGCAATACTTACCTTCTAGAGGTAGAGGTGCAGCTGGCCTGCGGGCAATGCTTGTGCCTTTCAGGGAAATGCACATTCATGGCAGGTATGTGTCCAAAATGTCACCAGTGACTGTCTTGCAATTGCCCACGTCCCCCTGATTTGCAACTATACAATGTGACTTTCTTGATCCCTAGGGATAGGGTAGATTGGTTAGATCAAAACTATTAGCATAGGACTTTACGTTTTAAGTCCTGATATATAATGCATTGAAAAATAGACAAATTTTAAGCATACAATCCCTTTAACCACTTAAGGACCAAACCTCTGGAATAAAATGGAATCATGACATGTCACACATGGCATGTGTCCTTAAGGGGTTAAACGTGGTGATTATTATAGGCACCACCTTATGGAAAAAAAGTATTGACACTTGAAATGTTGATTCTATAACATAATATCAGTACCTGTTTCGAATTGGGGAAAACCCAAGAGGCTCTGAGAATAATCATGAAAGTGTTTGTAGAATGACCCTGCTAATCTCAAACACTAAAACTGACTCGCAGTGACTGCTAACCTGCTAGGGTGCCATACAACGACACAGAACGTTTACATTCAGCTTTCACACCAACAAAATGGCCGAATTCCATTATGGCGGCGACAAAAAAAAGCTATTCCTTCTTTGCATGTGCAGGATACCGGAAATATAGGGCGATGCAAGCACGATCCCAGCATGCTTTGCTAAGGGTAGCCATTCATAAACTTGCACATTAAAATTTGGCGGCACTACTGTCACTTGCTTTTGTCTTATTGTAAATGGCAGAGATCTGATTTTGATCAGAATATTTCGCAGACGCTGTTGGTTATTCTAGTTATTGTTTTACACAGTGAGCCCGGGCACCTCCTGGTCCATAGAGAGCCATGGAAGGCATGTTTGCCAAGTTCGTGTCACAGAAGATCAGTAAGACTCGCTGGCGGCCGGTGTCAGCATCCTCACTGCAGCAACCAGATGTGTTTGCCACTGGCTCCTGGGATAACGAGGTGAGTGGGCAGTATGGGGCCCTGGTAAATGCCATTAGTTCTACAATAAGAGCTTCACATGTGGAGGATTAGAAGACACACCTCCCAGGTGACTATTTACTAAGAACAGTGCCCATTAGACTCAAGCCTCCTTCCCTCTTTTCCATTTGAATGCCAGTCTTGGTTTTTTTTTTTTGAAGCTCCATATTATTGGTATGTTTTGAGTGTATACCAGAGCTGCACTTGCAATAATACCCTTGTTCTAACTAACATTGTATTTATATAAATTTATTAAAAAGTTATTCCAACCACCATGACCACTTAAGTGATTTTGAAGTGGTCATGGTGGTTGGATTCATCTGTATGTGCAGAATTTCAGTTTTAAATGCTAAGCATCCCGATATATAATTAGTTGTGCCAGGAACTAGTTGCACCCCTGGCATATGTGATTTAGGCAGCCCGGAAACCTGTTCCTGGCTGCCTGATATTAATTAGGTGCAAAAATTACGTATTTTATCAGCGTGCTGACGACTGATGTAGTGATCTTCTGCTTTGCAGGCAGCGTGCCTGCTAGGGGAAGCATTTAAATGTAAATATCTGATGTAATATAGGTTGAATATTTTGGTAAGATTAACTTTATTATGCTACACATATAAAGCATTTTTATTTTATTTTTATGAAATACTGATAAAGGCTACCTTGGAATACCAGATACCATAAGACAAAGTAGGGACTACTTTATTATATGGTAAACCTTGAGGTTGACAAAATACAGCGCTCCCAAGTTTTGTCTAATCCCAGCAGCGTCACAAATGACAGCTGTACAATTCAGAATCCGTCTATGGAGGTTCTCACAGGATCCTCCATAGACTTCATTGTTGTACTTTCACAAGAGTACTGCACTGACATGGTTTCTGCCAACTGGAGCATCCGGAGGCAAAGGGGACAGCAGCATGAAGATGGTGGTGGTCGCAAAGGACAGCCTGAGGTAAGTAAAACACACCTCTCCTGTGCCCCATGGCCACAGGACCCATGTCAAATCTGTCAGGTTTAAAACTCTATTTCATATGTCGGATCCACTTTAAGCAATCTTTGGAGATGTTGACCTGATTGAAAGGGAAATGTCAGTTTCTAAGTTACCTATGGCACGTTGTTGTGCATGGGCAAGAATATCTGTGGAATGTCTTGCACAATGGTCCAAGGAGGGAGACCTTAAGATAAGTATATCTCCTTATTTCCAAAATTACTAAGACTTGCTCTTAATCAAAACTGTGAGAGTTTATAAACTTCTGACCACAATAAATGTGATTAAAATGCTTACAGGAATGACTATTGTAATGGTGGAAAGTATATAACGTACTGCACTTCCTTGTCCAGGATGCTGTTATCACTCCTTATTTGCTTGTGTATTTTTTTTCGTAAGGTCTGTAAATGTGCTCTTGTGGTGCCTGCTAAAGCAACATTCCACACACATAAAGAACTTCAGCTTGCTTGAATTGCTTTGTGTCTAGAGTCTGTAACTTTCTTGACAGCTTATAATAGTGCAAATTTAAATATAACTCATAATTTAACAAATGGGTAACTGAGTGACCATTTGGGAGACTTACTTTTGCTCCACGACGAGGAAGACAGCCAGTAGAGGCTTGCTTAAAGTGGCACTGTCATAATTTCACTGAAATTCCAACTCAGTTAAAAGATTTACTGAGACAAAGTATGGACTACACTTGACCATGGCCGGTGCTACAGCCATCTTGAAGTATCAATTCCCTCTGTCATCACCAGTGACAATTGCAGAGATATTCACTGTATCTCGCTGGGTCCTTCATGGAAGCGCCCGGAGCGGAAGAGAACCGATGAAAAAATATGGTGATGCCTGCCCTACACGACCACCTGTGGGGATGTCACCGTCGGGAGTCTTTGCAAGTTATAAAAAGTCCATAGACTGTGACACTGCTGATTTAACCCTTTTATCAAAACATTGCTGTTTTTTACAAAATGGCAATGTTTTACATTAACCCCTTAAGGACACGTGACATGTGTGACATGTCATGATTCCATTTTATTCCAGAAGTTTGGTCCTTAAGGGGTTAAAGGGTTAAAATTACAGGACTGCTGCACCCAGATCACTTCATGTGATGTAGGTTGTGTCAAGCTTAATGTGCTCAAATTTCAATAAAGCGAAAATTATAACTGGTATGCTCTCTGCTAACATAGCCCTCACAGATTATGCAATACTATTGCAGTCATGGAAAGACAAGATAAAACTATATCGAAATGCATTTCCATGGCAACCATAAATACACACATCTGTTTGGTGAGTCTGAAGGGCAGTTGTCTTAATTTTAGCAGTGGCACCTGGATAGGCTTGACTTAAAAACAGGTATTAGAAAATAACTAACATGTACAGTGTTATTCACTAAAATTGTAATTGTAGGAAATTAAAAATAAACTTAAAATAGCCAAACTGGTTGCTTTCTTAACTTTTTTGACATTATCATTTGAAATCCACTTTGTCTTGCCAACAATTCTCACTTTACTGAATAACCCTGTCTGTCTGATGGGACAGTGTTGTGTAAAGAGGAAAATAGGTCTGAAGCAGAGGCTATTTTCCTAGTTTTCAAAAAAATAAATTGTGCAAAAATAGCTCAAGAACAAACCGATATAACTTTCATTATTATTGTCTTACAATCTGAGTGTTCCTTGGATGTATTCACATATACAGTAAAAATTTAGATTCATCGTATTTGCTTCCTTTCTAATCTTCAGAGTGTAGATGTTTTAGAAGTAATTCTTAGTAGACTGAAAAATTACACTTATTGAAGTGTATGTCTGGTTAACTTGTAGCAAGCTATTGAATTACTATTTAATGCCCAAACTAACTCTTTAAATTGTTTCTACAGGAAAATAAACTATCAATTTGGTCCACTGGTGGTTTTGGAGCCCTAAATACTGAAGAAGACTATCAAGGCGATTTCAAATTGCTGTGTGATATCAGACACAATGGAGATGTCTTGGATATGCAGGTATTTGTTTAAAACAGGGCTGGAGTTTGGGAAAGCCTGGTTTAGAAAACTACAGGGCAGTTTTAGCACATATGTGTTGCTACTTTTATAGACTTCTAAAGGCACTCCATAGTAATAGGAGGATAAAAATCTGAAAAAGTGTTGGCCGCTTTATGATTTCAAACTTAAACTTAATTTCTTAATGTTTTAAATGAACACTCTAATGTTAGTGTTACAAATACAAGCAAGTATTCCTAATAGAACATACCATTTATTTATATCTTTTGACTAAAACTGGGGCTCTTTCAGCATGCAATGCTTATACATTCTACTGCAACTTTGAAAATGCAGAAATGTGACCTAGACTGGTAGCACATAATTGCTGTCCAGCTATTTGAGACTTGGCAAAATGAGTCAAGCATAAGGTGCTGGATATGCAAACCTCTGGTCAAATGGTGTGGCACCAATCAGGGGGCATTTCCATCTGAGGTTTAATATTCCACTCACTTCATAGTAGACCTGTATGCAGTTATATTTCTCTCTCCAAGATCACTTTTAATAGCACAGATCTACTTTAAGCAGCAACTGTAAGACGTATGGTGTATGTAACAGTATTACAAATTGTATTAATAAATATTTCCATCTAGGTTCTAGTATACAAGTGCTGAATGTATAAATACAAATGTTCCCTTGTGGTTTTTCTCCTGAAAACATATGTGTTGTGTTTTTAAACTTTATTGGAAAAAGCATCTCCTTTTCAAAATACACTTTTAAAATAAGCTTTTAGTGACTGGTATACATTGATACACCGTCCCCTAATGTTTTAATGACTTCTCAAACAGACAAATTGTGTACATTTTAAATGTATCTATTGTATTGTATTGTTTTTCCCAAGGATTGTCTTCTACCAGATTTGTTTAGAAAGTTTGATATGCTCAGCTGCTAAACACTAAACTTTTTATTTTATGTATGCATTAGTTTCTAGATAAAGATCGGATTGTAACAGCATCATCATCTGGAAGCGTTACAATTTTTCGTCACCATCAAAACAACCAGGTAACTTTTTTTAAATGTTATGTTGCCTGAGGAGGTGGAGCACAATGAATGTTAATATGTCCTGCTGCTAACAATGAAAAAAATCCTTAGATGTATCTTTTGCTTCAGTGTTACTGAAACATGTTCTCAATTTTAATCCTATATTTTTGAAGACATTATCAGAAAAACAGAGATGGGTTCAAGCACACCATCATGTGGGATCAAAAGGCATAGCAGCTCCCTGCACTAGTGTTGTGTGTAGCAATCCAGAAATAGTCTCTGTTGGAGAAGATGGTCGTATAAATCTTTTCAGAGCGGACAGCAAAGAAGTAGTAAGAATAATCGGTGAGTCCTCTCATTGTATTGACATTATGTGATCTGGTTTTATATAATTATCTGTGTCTGCATCTTTAGTATGCATAAAATACATAAGGAAAATTAGTCACTACTTTTCCTTATGTATAGGGGTGAAATTGACAAAACGTGAGGAGCTTAACCAAGGTTCTTTTTCACGTGTCAAATTAACCCACATTCCATCAGTAAAACTAATTCCACAAAATGGCTGCACCCATATATTGAGAAATTTATAATAAAGGGAAGTGTTAAGGTGAGGAGTATAATCAGAGCTAGAAACATCCCAGTAGCCAGGTCTCTGTGGAGACTGGGAATATTGTCCTGGCGCCTGGGATTTATTGACCTGTTCAGCTCCCGAGGCGGGTGGCTGACAGAGCGGGTGAAGGTGACTAGCCGGCTTATAGCTTATTAAAGCGGCCGGCTAAGGGATACTGGAGGCAGCGAGGGAGCTGTAATCTCCCTGCTCTGCTCCCTCGCACACCTACCAGTGATGCCAGAATATGACGTCACTCCATCCCTGGGAACAGCTCTCTAGGGAGCAGGGAGATGACAGCAGCCTCACTGGACCCCCTGGGAAAGCTAAACCACTCCAGCTCTCCTAAACTGAGGATAGCGCACCTTAGGGGGTTAAACTGAATAATAAATCATGACTAATAGATACACTGATGGTTAAAGCAGCAATATACAAACAACGCAAACCAGAGTGGAGAGTCCACTTGCTGGCTAACACCAAATCCTGTTGCCAAGGTGAGAAGATAAATCATCCATGGAAAGGTTGTGCCAGTTAAAGGGACACTCCAGGCACCCAGACCACTTCTGCCCATTTGAGTGGTCTGGGTGCCAACTTCCACTACCCTTAACCTTTCTATAAACTGCAATAATTACCTTGCAGGGTTAACTCCTCCTCTAGTGGCTGTCTACTAGACAGCCACTAGAGGGCACTTCCTGATTCATAGCACAGGTCTTCTGGCAACCGGGGATGGGAGGTGGGAGGGAGAGGGGACTTGCAGTGCCAGGAAAACGGATTGTTTTCCTGGCACTGGAGTGTCCCTTTAAGTCTCTCCTATTGCATCTAGATAAAATGTGCTGCGACTGCTCGATTTGTTCCAATAGCATATAGCAAGATTCATTTATTAGTACTTTACCCACAGTTTAGTTTTTTGGTATTGTGAATGCTTCTGGTCACCTCTATTTTGAGGAGTTAGTTTTTTGATAAAGGCTTTTGCAGAATTAGAATATCTGTTTTGTTGTTTGTTTGTTTTTAGAATATTTATTTATACTTTTTTCAAACTCTAGGAATCGTTTGTTCAATGCTTGTTTGGGAATGGGGGTAGCATTGGCTTCCTTCTGTGGCCTGTATATTTGGTACCTTGTCCCCTTAGGTTAACCAGAGGTGAGGATATGCGATTCATTTAATCATTAGTTTTAGAGACTCTTCCGCTTCAAACAGGGTCTCTCTTTTCTTTCTAGATGGTGATGGGTTGCAGATTTTGCCATCTGCCGCCAAGAGGTTAAATTTGAATCTGGCCCTCTTCATTCTTATTTCTGTTTTTACCACAATAATTGACATAGTGTAGCAAAGAAAGATGCAAACGCCTTCTAGATTTCTTGCACAAATTAATTCTACTTTTAATGTTGCAGATGATGCAGACAGCAGTGCTATGCACGCAGTAACATTTCTTCGTACTACTGAGATATTGACTGTGAACTCATTTGGGCAGCTGAAGATGTGGGATTTGAGACAACAAGGCAATGACCCTACCCAGATTTTCTCTGTGTGAGTATGGACAAAGTAAATGTGCCTTTTTTTATCTCTATCCCATTTTGTTTTATTTTTATTGTGCTTTATGCGCACTAAATATCCTACTAACGTAGAAAGCCCAGGTCTTGTGCAGCGGTGTAAGGCTGGACACAACATAACACCCCAGCTACATAACATTGCCTTCTTACCAGTCAACTTATGCCAGTATTAAAGGGACACTATAGTCACCTGAACAACTTTAGCTTAATGAAGCAGTTTTGGTGTATAGAACATGCCCCTGCAGCCTCACTGCTAAATCCTCTGCCATTTAGGAGTTAAATCCCTTTGTTTATGAACCCTAGTCACACCTCCCTGCATGTGACTTGCACAGCCTTCCATAAACACTTCCTGTAAAGAGAGCCCTATTTAGGCTTTCTTTATTGCAAGTTCTGTCTAATTAAGATTTTCTTATCCCCTGCTATGTTAATAACTTGCTAGACCCTGCAAGAGCCTCCTGTATGTGATTAAAGTTCAATTTAGAGATTGAGATACAATTATTTAAGGTAAATTACATCTGTTTGAAAGTGAAACCAGTTTTTTTTTCATGCAGGCTCTGTCAATCATAGCCAGGGGAGGTGTGGCTAGGGCTGCATAAACAGAAACAAAGTGATTTAACTCCTAAATGACAGTGAATTGAGCAGTGAAATTGCAGGGGAATGATCTATACACTAAAACTGCTTTATTTAGCTAAAGTAATTTAGGTGACTACAGTGTTCCTTTAAACTTCTCAAAAAACACACAATCTTATTTGCTAAGTGCTTACTATCTATGTAAAGGAAACAAACCTCACTTTCTTCTCTAAAAAACTGGACACATGAGGAATTCAGAAACATTGATTTTCTACCAAGACTAGCCTGCTAACTAAATTTTTACAGAAACTGCAACTTGGCATGAAAGTAATATTGGTCTCATACACTCAAAGTGTCTTTCAGTATCAAGGGCAGTTTAAAAAAAAAAAAATTTTTTTATATATATATATATATATATATATATAATTTTTTATTTTAGTGTTCAAGTAGAGATTGTAGCCGTATTAGTCCAGTGATGTAGATGTAAAAAAACAGATAAAATTCGTATCTTGTAATACATTTTTTATTGGACAAACAGAATTTTTTTCTTTCGGGAGAACCTCCCTTTCTCAAGTCTGAAGCATTTCTGAGCAAGACGACACATAAAATTCAAAGTTGAATTGTGATACAGATGTTAAAGCGACATTAGTGTAGATAAGACACAGGTTTGTTAGAAAATAGACACCATCTTAGCAGAGGGTCAAAAATATCTTTTTGAAGAGCAGAGTGAGGGGGGAGAGCGGGAAAAGAAAAGCAGACCGTGCAGAGGATGGTACACTTTATACATGCGCGCACACACATATGTATATGTGAACGCATAAACCCATGTACATATACATAAACATACATACTTGCACATGAACTCATATACACATATAAATGCACAGTAAATATATATATATATATATATATATATATATATATATATACACACACACACACGAGTATGGGAAAGCAAAGGTCTACACATAGTACTTTGTAACAACTAGCTAGTCTGAGATAGACATTGTTACATGCTATGTTTAAAACACACAATAATGAAAATAAGAATATTCAGGTGATATTCAGGCTAGGAAAACATTTCATAGGATTAGTAAGACTTTTATACATATGAAGAGTAAAAGGCAAGACATGGAGATTACTGAGGATTATGTTAATCTAAAGTACAAGAGTCACAGGTAATGAACACCGGGTCGCCCCCGCATTCCAGTAGCTGCATTCCACTATAAAATATGCAGATAGAAATCATAGGTATATAAGAACAAATCATAAGAGTATAAGAGCAAGCAGTTCAACAAGCATTAAAGATGAATTACATGCCGAACACCAACAACATGGCAGCCACCCATGTTGGGTGAATCACAGGTAGCGGACACCGTATCTGACTCAATCTATCCTTGTCAGCGGCTGGAGTGGTGCGTGTACCCGGGTGATCAGGTAGTGGTTTCCAGAAGTAGAGCAGATCCGGGTTCTCCCTCGGCCCCAGGCCTGTGTGAGAGCCAGCATCCTTAGTCCACGAGAACCAAGTCCTTCCCCCTTCTTCGCCCACATTGTAAGCTATTTGAGTTCATCTAGGAGCAGTGGCGTACATACCAGGGTCGCGACCGGGCCCGGCCGCCCCTGCGACCCGGTGTGTACCCACTGGGCCAGCCTCTTCTCCTGGGGGGCCCAGGAACCGGCCACCTCAGGGCCCCCCGAGGCTGGCCCTGCTGACACCAGGCAGGCGGGTGGCCGGGCAGGCAGGCGGGCGCGCGAGGGAGCACTCAGTGCTTCCTCTTCAGCTCCCTCGCGCACCGCACTGATGCCGGAGCCGGAAGATGACATCATCTTCCGGCGCCGGCATCCCTACGCAGTGCGCGAGGGATCTGAAGAGGAAGCACTGAGTGCTCCCTCGCGCGCCCGCCCAACCGGCCACCCGCCCAGGAGCCCAGCAGCACCACTGGACCCCAGGGAATCCCCCCAGCACTCCAAAAGGTAAGGAGGCTGGGGGGATTACATTTAAAAAAAAAAAAAAGTGTGTTAGTGTGTAAGTGTTAGTGTGGGTGTCAGTATTAGCTAGTGTCAGTAGTGTGTTACTGTGTGTGTCTTAGTGAGTCTGTTTGATGTCTGTTGGTGAGTGTGTGTTTGTCAATGAGAGTGTATGTTTTGTAAGTGAGTGTGTATGTATGTCTTTCACTGAGTGTGTCTCTGTCAGTAAATGTGTGTATGCGTCTGTAAGTGAGAGTGTGTGTGTCTTCAGCGCCGGACTGCCTTGGCGCTGGGGATCCCTCAGCCTCTCAGCTCCGAATGCGACCGCGCGCGCATTCAAACTGCCCATAGGAAAGCATCACTCAATGCTTTCCTATGGATGTTCAGTGTGCTCCTCTAGCGGTTGTCAGTGAGACAGCCACTAGAGGCTGGATTAACCCTCAGTGAAACATAGCAGTTTCTGAGAAACTGCTATGTTTTCAGCTGCAGGGTTAAAACTAGAGACCTGACACCCAGACAACTTCATTGTGATCTGGGTGTCTGTAGTGGTCCTTTAAGTGTGTGTGCATCTGCATGCACTGGCGTACATACCGCGGTCGCAGCCCTGTAACCCCTGCGACCAGGTGCCCACCGCCATGTGTTGCGGCCCGGCCCGCGCGTGGTGGGGGCCACGGATCAATTTTCGCACCGGGGCCCCATGGGTCATGTGTATACCACTGTCTAGGAGCACTGTAGGCTGAAACCCCAGAGAATTTAATTTGCAAGCCCTGTTTAACCCCTTAGTGACTAGAACGTTTTTCAATTTTGTTACCGTTAAGGCTCTTTTTATATTTCTGTGGTGTTTGTGTTTAGCTATAATTTTCCTCTTACTCATTTACTGTACCGACACACATTATATACCGTTTTTCACACCATTAAATGGTCTTTCTAAAGATACCATTATTTTCATTATATCATAAAATTTACTATAAACAAATTATAAAATTTTAAAAAAAAACACTTTAACCCCCAAAATCTGTTGCGCATCTAGAACCGCCCAAAAAACACTTGTGCTATATAGTTTCTAAATTTTGTCCCGAGTTTAGAAATACCCAATGTTAACATGTTCTTAGCTTGTTTTGGAAAGTTATAGGGCAATAAGTACAAGTAGCACTCTATTTCCAAACCTTTTTATTAACACAAACAATTGCATAGTAACACTATCTGTCTGGAATCCCTGAATAACCTTTCACATGTATATATTTTTTTTAAAAGAAGACAACCTAAGGTATTAAACTTTTATTATTTTGACTCTCTTCATTCAAACATTTTACCACCAATATATGCCAAATTAAAAGTTTTTTTTTTTTTTTTTTGGACACACATAGCAACTTAAGAATACATGTACGGAGAACTTTTAAGGGTTACTGCCAGAGAACACCCCATTGTGTGTTCAGCACATAAACCCTAGTGTATTTCAAATAGTGGTATTTTAACACTTTTCATGCACTAATTCTACCACCAGTCTTTGTCAAAGTTTTGGGTAGTCATTTCTTTTTTTTTTTTTTCTCACATTGAACTTTAGGCATAGATTCTCAGTTCCTGTTATGTGTTACTGCCAAAAAAACTCTGCAACATCTCCCAGGTACAACAGTGCCCCCAATGTTCAGGTTTTATGGGTTTTTGCAAACTTACAGGGGTCAAATGTAGGGCTTTTCCATGTTTGCACATTGAAATTTGCCAGATTGGTTTGCTGGGCCTATGTTGCCTTTGAGACAGTATAGCAGCCCAGGAATGAAAATTAACCCCATCATGGCATACCATTTGTAAAATTAGACAACCCAGGGTATTCAAAATGGGGTATGTCCAGTCTTTTGTAGTAGCCACTTAGTCACAAAAGCTGGCCAAAGTTAGCGTTCATATTTGTTTTTTGCATTTATTTTATTTACACAAAAACTGCACTTTTACTGGTGATTTCATCGTCGTGATAAGTTTTACTGTTTTAAACACTCCTGTGTTCAGCGAAGTCTCCCGAGTATAACAATACCCTCCATGTACAGCGCTCAAATTTGCAGCGGACATATCAGGTATGTCTGCGGTCCTTAAGGACCTTTTTTTTCCGGACGTACCTGATACGTCCGTGGTCAGGAAGGGGTTAAACCTGTTACTTTCCAAAACCCCATAACATCTGTATATGGGGGTTGGGAACTGATGTATTTGTAAGGCATTGCTGAACACAAATATGAGCAGTAAACGTACAATGACTATAATATCTCGAAAAATGAAATACCAACTTTGGCCAGGGTTTGTGACTATTGGCTACTAAAAAAGACTGAGCATACCCCATTTTGAATACCCGGGGTTGAAAACTTTTGCAAATGGTATGCCATGATGGGGGAATTTCTCATTCCTGGGCTGCCATATGGTCTCAAATGCAACACAGGCCATCAAATCAATCTGGCAAATATCAATATGCAAAAACTGAAATGGGCAAGCTCTTTATTTGACCCTGTAACTTTCCAAAACACCATGAAACCCAAACATGGGGGGTATTGTTGTACATCACAGCATACAAATAAGTGTGCTTTATTTCAGAAAAATCTAAGGCTATTATGACATTCACAGTTGAAATGACATCTAGAACTTGGATAATAACATTTCTTACGCTTGTCTAGATTTTACACATATTAAATAGTGTACCTGATGTGAAATAAAAATCCCTTTTTCTCCTGAGCAAAATGATATATATTAAGTGTGGGTGCACTTTATATGAAAGTGGTAAATTATGCGGCGTGGCATGGAAGCTATCAGCCTGTGGCACTGCTGAGGTTTTATAGAAGACCAGAATGCTTCAATAGCGGCCTTCAGTTCTTCTGCATTGTTCGGTCTCATGTCTCATCTTTCTCTTGGAAATGCCCCATAGATTCTGGGGTTCAGGTCAGGTGAGTTTGCTGGCCAATCAAGCACAGTAATCCCACGGTCATTGAACCAGGCTTTGGTGCTTTTGGCAGTGTGGCCTGGAAAATGAGGTCCGCATCCCCATACAGCTCGTCTGCGTGCTCCAAAATCTCCTGGTAGACAGCTGCGTTGACCCTGGACTTAATAAAGCACAGTGGACCAACACAAGCAGATGACATGGCTCCCCAAATCAACACAGACTGTGGAAACTTCACATTGGACTTCAAGCATCTTGCAGTGTGTGCCTTAATTCTTCCTCCAGACTCTGGGTTCTTGGTTTCCAAATGAGATGCAAATGTTGCTCTCATCAGAAAAGAGGACTTTTTACAACTGAGCAACAGACCAGGTCTGGTTTTTTTATTTTTATTTTTTAACCCAGGTAAGATGCTTCTGACGTCGTTTGTTGTTCAGGAGCGACTTGACAAAAGGAATACGACATCTGAAGCCCATGTCCAGGATCCAACTGTGTTTGGTGGCTCTTGATGCACTGATTCCAGCCTCAGTCCACTCCTTGTGAAAGTCCTCAACACTTTTGAATTGCCATTTCCTGACAATCCTCTCCAGGCTGCAGTCATTCCTGCTGCTTGTGCACCTTTTTCTTCCACCCTTTTCCCTTCCACATAACTTTCTATTAATGTGCTTTGAAGCAGCACTTTGGGAACATCCAACTTCCTTTGCAATTACCTTTTTAAAGCTTTCCCTCCTTATGGAGGGTGTCAATGATGGTTTTCTGCACAACTGTCAGGTCAGCAGTCTTCCCCATGATTGTGATTCCTACTGAACCAGACTGAGAGACCTTCTGAGAAAGGCTCAGAAACCCTTTGCAGGTGTTATGGCTTACTTGACTGATTAGAGTGGGACACTGTAAGCCTGGAATATTGCACCTTTCTAATTCTAATTTACTGAGATTGTGGATTTGGGGTTGTGTAAGCCATAATCATCGCACTTATGACAAATCACGGCTTGAACTATCTTGCTTTGCATGTAATGCGTCTATCTCATATATTAGTTTCTCCTTTTTACGTTGCATTACTGAAATAAATGAACTTTTGCACGATATTAAAATTTTTCGAGTATCACCTGTATAGCTCAGATTCTAGGTTTAGTTTTGGTTCAGAACTTGGACCATTGCATATATTACAGTCTTCAAGGACTTTATCTTTTTGACCTTACCATAAAAATAAAAAAAAGTCTTTTTTTTTTTTTTTTTTCCTTGTTTATGAAAATAAAAAAAGATTTACTGAAAATGTATAGTTAATATGGTGTCCCCTCTTCCCCACATTTCCATTTACAGGACGGGTGACCGAATTCCCTTGCACTGTGTTGACAGACACCCTAGCCAGCAGCATATTGTTGCAACAGGTGGACAAGATGGCATGCTATGTATATGGGACGTTAGACAAAGCCGCATGCCAATATCTCTGTTGAATGCTCATGAGGCAAAAAGTAAGTATAAATGACTTATTTACAATGTAGAGTTAATAGCCTATGTGTTCAAATAGGACTAGAGTCACATGTAAAGGCGTGCTGCAAAGCACCATAACGGCTTTACACTATTTTGCATAGGTTATATTCAAAGTAGCCTGACTCTTCACCCCTCTCTCTACTGTAAGATTTGTTTAATTTTGTCTGGAGTGGTGATAAACCAAACCCTGGCCTACTTTTAATACTTGATGAAGTGATGCATGATATTGAATAACCACAATATAGGTTCCTTACTTATTTGATTTGTTTCTGAACGTGCAGTGTGGGAAATCCATTTCCATCCTTCAAAGCCAGATCACTTATTCACCTGTTCAGAAGATGGTTCTTTATGGCATTGGGATGCCTCAACTGAGATTATAGAAAAGCCTTCCTTCCTTGGTGAGTATACAAAACTGAAAGATACTCTGTATGGTTTATTCTCTAAATATTAAATTGTAGTAAATGGAAAATAAATTGCAAAATTTACTCTAAAAAAGCAAAGTGGGTTGGGAGATCATAAAAATGAGTTTTAGTATTTGTTTGAGGCAGCTTCAGACTCTATCTGCTGAAGCCAGAACTAAACAGACTACAGCCTAGTACTGAGAGTGTGAAAGGACCACTCCACACTTATGGTGGGGAAAAAAACCCAAATGAATAAATACATGTATATTTTTATGTATGTATTCATTTGGAGTATAGTCTAAAACAGCTTGCAAAAGCTGTAATTCTTATGACTGCAGCCTTTCTAAGCCCTCCTATTTTTCACAGAAATGGAATTGTCCAATCAGAAGCTTCTCATAGAGAAGCCTCTGTTCCATTCTATTTCAAGTGTCTCGCCTCCCTCCTCGATCTGTGTCAAATCTTCCTTCCCCTCTCTGTTTCAAAGCCTCTCCCTGTGTCAGAGCCTCCCCTCTCCTCCTCACCTGCTGATTGGTGGTTAGAGGATATTTAGTTTCAGCAAGCTGAAGTGCTCTTTTAAGTCTCCTCTCCTAGTAGTGTGTTTTAGGCATGTGCATGGGGAAAATATTCGGCTCAGTTCAGCATTCCGAAATTCGGGACATTGTCAATTTGGGACTTCGGATTTTAGACACTTCGGAATTTCGGGACTTTTCTTGCAGCCGCTTGGTAGATAACTCCCTAATTCCTACGGTATTAGGGTGTTATCTACCAAAAGGCTAAAAAGACCTAAATTGGTCTTTCAGCCAAATTTGCTTAGTATTGGTAAAAATTACTTAGGATTAGTTAATTAGTAAATTACTTGGTATTAGTAAATTGTGCCCCTACTCGCTATACTGCGAGTAGGGGCATGTCTATAAAACAGTGAGCAGCCTGTGGCTATTCACTGTGTTAAAAAAAAAAAGGGGGTTCCCCCTCATGAGTGGCGGTGGGGGCCCTAAAGTAAAAGGGGGAGGACCTATTATCCTCCCCTGATTGGCGGGTGGGGGCCCTAAAATAAAAGGGGGAGGACCTATTGTCCTCCCCACCGGCCACCACCCCTGAGCAGCGGGTGGGGCCCCTAAACAAGAATAGGGGGGACCTAATGTCCTCCCCCCTGAGCTGGGGCCCTAAATACAATGGGGGAGATCCTATGTCCTCCCCACCCCACCCTGAGTGGGTGGGGCCCAAATGCAAATTTAACCCCTACCTCCCCCCCCAGGTGACTAGAGGTCTCCAAACCCCTAGTCACCCCCTCCCCCAAAAAATTAACTCCTACCTACACCCCTCACCCTAAAAATAATGAGGGGGGACCTTTAACTAAAAATAAACTTACCATTTGATGTTTTTTTTTCTTCTAAAATCTTTTTTCAGCCCCAAAAAACGCCAAATAAAAATCCATAATAACCGATGCAATTAAAAAAAAAAAAAAGCAAAAAAATAATAATCAATCTTCACCCATGGAGGGCTCCGCACAGACTGAGCCCTGCAGGGCGGGGGAAGGCTTATAAAGCCTTGCCCCACCCTGCAATTAGGCTCAGAGCACTCTGATTGGTGGGTTTAAGCCATCCAATCAGAGTGCTCTGACAGTTAAATGAAGAGACTGACAGGTAAGGGCCCCCACCCACCGCTCAGGGGGGAGGACATTACGTCCCCCCCCTCCTCTCCCAATTTTAATAGACATGCCCCTACTCGCGGTATAGTTCTTCTTCATTCACTGGGTAAGTATATTAGTACTTAGGCAATACTGTACTTCGGCAATTCAGCTATTCGGACATTCAGAAGCACCTGAATGTCCGAATTACCAGAAATTCGGCCCGAAACGAATTTCACATGTCAAGTGTGTTTGCTCAGCTTTTGCCTTAACCTAGCACAAAGAGGTGAGATACGAGTTTGCTTTATTATGAAGGGCTGACAGAGCTGTACAGTATTTTAGAATTTGGCCTTCAGGAAGACAGCCCCATTACTTAGATTTAGCCTTATCTTCCCATCTTATCCCAATACTAAGATGGGCCCCGAAATCTAATGACCTGTTGAAAAAAATATATACTTCCCATCAATGTCTTCTTTCTTCTAAAGTCTTCTTTTCTTTAGCTTCCCCCGCCCCCAAGCCATTACATTCTGATGTTACAATTAAAATAAAATTTAAAAAACAGCCAATTTACAAAAATATGACAGAAAAACAAATAAATTCAAGTGAGCTACTCTATTGCTCTAAGTGAATAACTGAAATAGCAAATACTGGCAAATCCTCTTTTTTTTTTTTTTTATATTTAGTCTGTAATAGCATAAGATGTTAAAGGAATACTCCAAGCACCATACCCACTGCAGCTCTCTGTAGTGGTTATAATACCAGGAATACCTTGGCGCCCATACAGAGTAATTTGTCAAACTATTTAAGAATGGCTTGCCATCTTACCTCTGCATCCTGCAGCTGAACTGCCTTCTTTCAGTTTTTCCTGCAAAGAGATACTAGTTAGCTGTACTGAGCTGGGCAGAGCAGCTTGTATTGGCTGAGAGCATAAGCTTGGCACACTCAGCCAATGTAGCAAGTAGCAGTTATGGTGCTTGGAGCGTTCTTAAATACTTGCAAATAATTTTAAATTCTGTTGATAAAATAATTGTCTATTTCTCCACAGGAGGAAGAAACACATCTCATATGTCCCGTAGCACTATTACACCATCTAATACTTGGCTCAGCAGTGACCCCACAAAGAGCCACTTGGAAATTACTGATCTTCTTCCCAACTCCACTCTCTCTGTGAACAGCCTGGACGTTTTAGGAGAATTCCTGGTTTGTGGAACAGATGCAGAAAATATATGTGTGACCAGGCGACATTTTTCATGAACTTGATCATTGGAAAAAAAAAGTGTATATATACTTATGCAACTGTAAAATTACAATATATTATTGATTTTCTGTAACCCAGTTTATGGATAAATGTGACTTTTTTCTTCTAAGCCTACTTTTGTTCTGGTTAAATGCAAGGGTTCATTTACTGATAACAACGAGCAAGAATTTTATCATTGGATCAAACTTTGTGTTATTCAGAACCCAAGAGTGAATCAATACAGACAAGATGTGAACAAGACCAACTGTCCCATGTTATTTTATTGAATATTATACCCTTGTGACTTATCCACATCAATCACTCTTCAAATATATATTTTTCCATTGTTATGTTATCCCTCCTGAACTAGGATTCAAGTCAAAAATGATAACACAGATGCTTTATCCACCTGTTTTACATTGAATTGTAAACATTATAAATGACATCACAAATGTACAATTTGGTGTTGGGGTGTGTGTATGTATATATAAAACACATTGTTCAACACAGCTCTGCACATACCAAACAAGCTACATGACTTGCTTTTGCCTCATAAATTCCACTTCAATATATGGATTCTTTGGCCAGTAGATATGCTGTACACAAATGCTTTTAACCCCTTAGTGACCAGAACACTTTTCAATTTTCTTACCATTAAGGACCAGGGCAGTTTTTAAATTTCTGCAGTGTTTGTGTTTACCTGTAATTTGCCTCTTACTCATCTACTGTACCGACACACATATACCGTTTTTCACACCATTAAATGGTCTTTCTAAAGATACCATTATTTCCATCATTTCATATAATTTACTATAAAAAAAAAAAACACCCTTTTTCAAACTTTGGCCCCCAAAATCTGTTGTGCATCTACAACTGCCAAAAAAACACCTGTGCTTAAATAGGTTTTCAATTTTGTCCTGAGTTTAGAAATACTCAATGTTAACTTGTTCTTATTTTATAGGGCTTTATGTACAAGTAGCACATTGCTATTTCCAAACCATTTTTTTTTTTTTTCCCCCAAAAAAATTGTTACATGTATATATTTTTTAAAAGAAGACAACCTAAGGTATTAAACATGGGGTATTTTGACTCTTTTCATGCAACCATTTTACCACCAATATTTGCCCCCCCCCAAAAAAGTGGGGTTTTTTTTGGTTTTTTTACCGCAATTTAAGAAAACATGTATTGAGAACTTTAAGGGTTACTGCCAAAGAACACCCCAATATGTGTTCAGCAACATCTTCTGAGTAATGTAATACCACCCATGTAACAGGTGTGTCAGGTTCTCTGGGTGCTAAAAGACCTTATTTGGAGGGTGCGCATTCCAGTTTTCCAACTTGGAATTTTCACAGATGGTCATCATGCACCCATTTCCTATTTGGGACATTTTTGAAGCTGGCCAATGTAATTTACCGCAATCAAACCATATATTTTTGAAAAGTAGACAACCCAGGGTATTCAGTATGGGGTATGTACAGTCTTTTAGTAGCCACTTAGTCACAAACACTTGCCAAAGTTAGCATTTATATTTGTTTGTGTTTAAAAATGCAAGAAACCATTATGAATGTTAACTTTGGCCCATGTTTGTGACTAAGTGGCTACTAAAAACGACTGAACATACCCCATTTGCAATATGTTGGGTTGTCTTCTTTTGCAAATGGTATGCCATCATGGGGATAATTCTCATTCCTGGGCCACCATACGCTCTCAAAGGCAACATAACCAATCTGGCAAATTTCAATGTGAAAAAATAGCCTTATATTTGACCCTGTAACTTTCAAAAACATTATAAAACCTGTACATGGGGGGTACTGTTAGACTCGGGAGACTTCGCTTAACACAAATATTAGTGTTTTCAAAACCGTAAACCATATTACAACACTACCATCAGTGAAAGTGCCGTTTGTGTGTGCAAAAAAAAAAAAAAAAATCACTCTCACTGACAATATCATCCCTGTGATATGTTTTACTGTTTTTAAAAACTCATATTTGTGTTCAGCGAAGACTACCGAGTAAAACAGTACCCCCCATGTACAGGTTTCAGGGTGTCTTAGAAAGTGACAAGGTTAAATAAAGTGCTAGCAAATTAAATTCTCTGGGTTGTCAGGCAGGTCCCCCAAATTGCAATCAATAAAATTACCTAATTATGTAAAACTATTACATAAATATGCACGTAGAATTTAAATATATAGAAATGGGGTAGGGCTCCGCCAGTAACAAATATTAAATAAAATTGTCCAAAAGAGTCAGTGCTTGATGGGATATAGATGAGTAGACTTTTTAGTAGAAGTGGGAGCGTCCTAGTGCCTCAGGGTATTCGCGTATATGAAAAACAAGGAGACGGGCAGCCAGTAGTGCAATACGTATAAAATCAAAGGGGAAAATAATAGTAGAAGGTAAAGAACTCACATTTAAAAGAGCTACGGCCAGCTCTGGTGTGAAGGGCGTACAGCGATACAATCTTCGCTTATGGGATATGTGAAGGGAGTGCTTCTGTCAACACAGTCTGGTCATCCAAGGCTCCATATAGGGATAAAAATAGGCAACAATAGTGCTCTCAATTGGATAAGAGTAACTAAAATAATACTTACAAGTGTCGTATTAATTTTAAGTCTATTAATAAAGCGGTGGTGGTATGATCCCATCTGGGATTTCTTTAAGTGCAGGAACAACAGTAAAAAGGCAGGAAAGTAAAAATAGTAAAAGTGCTTAAAAATACAATAAAAAGAGAATTGGCACAGTGAGCAACCAAAAACTTTTAATTGATCTGAAAATACACAGTATAAAAAAAAAAAAAGTGTGCAAATAAAGGTTAATAAATATAAGACTACAGTATAGACTCGAGTATAAGTCTAGTTTTTCAGCACATTTTTTGTGCTTAAAAACCCCCACTCGACTTATACTCGAGTCACTGTCTGACTCTGATTATGGCAACTTAGAGAGCCGTGGCCGTCAGAGCCATGGCAGAGCTGACCGGAACGGAGGAGAAGGGAGGTGACAGGAGCTGCAGGAAAGGTAAGTAAATGCTTCCTGCCGGCCCCCCCATTTCACAGACCATGCCACTGGACCACCAGGGATTAAGATAGTCCCTCTCCCTGACCTGTTAACAAGCAGGGAGTGGGGACAAAAAAATAAATTAAAATAATAAAAAAATAATATTAAAATAATAAAAATGCCCTCCCCCCACCCAGTTCACACACACTACACAAACACACACTCTGCATTATGAGTGTGTGTATATAATGCAGAGTGTGTGTTTGTATGAGTGTGTGTGTATATAATGCAGAGTGTGTGTTTGTATGAGTGTGTGGATATATAATAGAGAGTGTGTGTGTATATAATTATAAAAATCACAGAATTTCATAGCCCCAAGTTTTACCCTCGACTTATCCACGAGGCATAGCATATTTCACAATTGTTGGTCACAAAACTGCACTCGACTTATACATGAGATCGACTTATACACGAGTATATACGGTAAATCAATCAACTCCTTACAAGGAAAAGAGAATTTCTTTAAAACCCGTTCTTAATAATAGTGGAGAACTTAAAAGGTAAATGAAGCTCCTAATGAAAGGTTCAGAGGCATCCCTGGTTACAATGCCGTAGGCAACAACTGTAACCCAATGGAGTCTAAATGTATATTCATTTGTGTCCCAATTCTAAAAATATAGAATATATGTACCAAAAAGTTCTTCACTGCATGGTATTAGCAAGAAAAAGGGGAAAGGAGGATTCTCACCTAAACGGTGAGATGGATGAGATTCTAAAAAATATTTGCTAATATATAATTTTTCACTTATTTTTTCAGTTTCTAATTATGTGGACAATCTTTTTCCATTTGAGTAGATTTTTGATGCATATATTATTTATAATTTCATCTTAATATAAACACTTAGAAAATTAAAAGAAATTTGCTAAGGTTTTTTTTTCCCCCTCTTATGTTAAGAAGTGGCATAATTCAAAGTCTTGGTTAAGGCCATGTGGAATAAGGGTGTTTAGATTGAAAATCCATTGCATCTCGATCTTGCTTAACACCTTAAGGACGGCGGGCGTGCTATGCCGTCCTTGCGGCATAGCACGTCCACACCGTCCTTCCCACTTACCTGCTCGCAGGCGATCGCGATGAAGGGACTTACCTGACATCACAGGGAGTCCCCCTGCTGCCGATCCGGCCCTCCTGGGCCATGTGGTCGTGAGGTCCTCACAATTACATGGATGGAATAGACATCTATAGCAATGCCAGCAGGGGGAGTGCCTGGAATGACAGGTAGTGGAGAATGCCTGAAAAAAAGGTTTAATAAAGTTTTAAAACAGTGTAAAATAAAAAATATATAATTAATCATATATATATATATATATATATATATATGATATATATATATTCACTTACACATACATACACTGTCTAAGTGTATTCTAAGCTGAAAAGAGACTTGCGTCCATCAAGTTCAGCCTTCCTCACATTTGTTTTTTGCTGTTGATCCAAAAGAAGGCAAAAAAACCCAGTTTGAAGCACTTCCAATTTTGCAACAAGCTAGGAAAATAATTCATTCTAGACCCCAGAATGGCAGTCAGATTTATCCTTGGATAAAGCAGTTATTACCCTACATTGAAAGATTATACCCTTGAATATTTTGTTTTCTGCAAGTATGCATCTAGTAGCTTTGAACATCTGTATGGACTCTGATAAAACCACTTCTTCAGGCAGATAATTCCACATCCTTATTGTTCTTATAGTAAAAAAACAACTTTCTTTTGCCTTAGACAAAATCTTCTTTCTTCCAGTATAAATGCATGACCTCGTGTGCTATGTAAAATCCAGTTTGGTTTTCCACACAATGGTTTGTATTGGCCCCGAATATAATGTTATGTTATCTCTCAGGCTATGTTTTTCTAAACTAAATTTGTTAACCTTTCTATCCTAGCTATGTTTCATTCCTTTTATTAATTTTGTAGCGCGCCTCTGCACTTTTAATATCCTTCTTTAGAACAGGTGCCACAAATTAATATCAAAATACACATAGAATGCTATTAATTAAATATATATATATATAATATATAAATACGCTAATAATAAAAATTGGGGGCGTGGCCGCAATGGCAGCACACTGAAAGAGCTCCGCTGTCTCGGGCTCTTAAACACGGCTAAACCACACCACGGTATTAGGGAGTTATCTACCAAAAGGCTGAAAGACCTAAATTGGTCTTTTAGCCAAATTTACTAATACTAAGTAAAAATTACTTAGTATTAGTAAATTTTGCCCCTACTCGCTATACCGCGAGTAGAAGCATGTCTATTAAACAGTGAGCAGCCAGCGGCGGGTGGGGGCCCTAAAGTAATATGATGGGGGGTACCTATTGTCCTCCCCCCTGGCCCCCACCCCTGAGCTGCGGGTGGGGGCCCTAAATTGGAATAAGGGGGGGGGGACCTAATGTCCTCCCCCCGGCCCCCACCCCTGAGCAGCGGGTGGGGCCCTAAACAAGAATAAGGAGGGGGGACCTAAGTAACCAATCAGAGTGTTATGAGTCAAATTACACAGTGTGGGAAAATTCCAAAGAACTATTCCACGCTGTGTAAAATGACACAGAGCACTCTGATTGGTGGATTTCAAACCAACCAATCAGAGTGCTGTGACAGGTAAATGTAGAGACTTACCTGTCAATCTCTTCATTTACCTGTCAGAGCACTCTGATTGGATGGCTTAAACCCACCAATCAGAGTGTTTTGAGCCTAATTGCAGGGTGGG